TGCCACTCGGCCGGCCCTCCCTTAGTGTTTTTGAATGAAATTAAAAACATAAATAATTTTAAGAAGTCCTCTCCAAACATTAGGACTGAACAGGTGTTCTTATCTGTCCAATGCAGAATGAAGGTGGACACGGAGGGAATTTACGAGTGCACGGAAACTGGTTTGATATTTGAGGTTAACAGAAAAGTTGACATCAAGTATTGCATCTTGTCCTGGAGCAAATATGCAGACCTGGTTGTTAAGCCCTGGGCTGTTGGGGGACCCTTGTTTGATGTTAAATGTGACCCAGCCTGTCTTAACTCCATTCAGTTGCCACATTCCCTCTGCTTGGGTCGTAAGTACTTGTTTGCTAAATTTTAATTGTTGTGTGCATGTGTATATGTGTGAGAGTATGTGTGTAACCCACACAACACCTGGAACAATAATTTACCTTCATATTTTAACAGACCATGACGCCAATATGACATTCAAAGTCTTACATGTCAAAAGTTCTGGGTCCTCATTAGAATATGCTGTGGATCATTCTACAACCCATGTCAAATGGCACGTGAGCTCTCTTTCTCCTGTGGGACCTGTTATTCAAAGTGAAGAGACGTTATACCACCATGGGGCTGTGATTCTGTACAAAGTCATTGACCATAATCCATCCTTGTCTTTTCGTGTGTACATAGCAACCAATAATGAGTCCTTCATCAAGGTAAAGCCAATAAAAATGAATGATAAATGTTGACTACTACTTTGTGTTCAAACATTACACCATGTTTAGGTGTAGGCCCTGTCTCTGTTAAATATCCCCACACCCTGGGTCAGTTTGGCGCTTAGCTACAGATATGATAAAGTCCGCGCCTAGGTGTGTGCCGAGTCCTCAGATCCATGGAGTATGATTGTCTATACATGTAAACAGCATCAAGAAGACAACAGGTGGGGAATAGCTCTCCAGAGATGCTGTTGACCCAGGCAAGCAGGCCTGGTCTGGAGATGGTTGCCTGATGGACAGCTAAGGCCAGTTATCCTCTGCTACATTTCTACTCAAAATGTGGTCACAGAACCAGGACCATCAGCATCAGTTGGGAGCGTCTTAAAATTTTAGCACAATGCAAGCCCTACTCTAGACCTATAGAATCAGAGCCTGCGATCCACAGGATTCCCAGGGGAGTCGTACACACTTCAGAGTGTGAGAAACACTTGCCCTGGAATACATTGGGGAGATGTTTGAGATCTTTGGGTCAAAAATAGGGTGGCTGACTTGAGATTTCTCCTTGGCCTAAAGCTCCTCAGATGAATGGGCTGCCCAGGTTAACTCATTTCATTTAGAGCAATGTTTTGGATAAAAATTGACCTGTGGTTCATGGGTTCAGACTTCTGTGTTTTCTAGCAGCAGATATTCATGATTCACCTATTGTACTTGAGGGAAGGAGAGGGGATTTAGATATTCATAATGGTTCAGTTTTCCAGAATAGAATAAGGCTGTGATATTTAGCCCACTTTCTGAACTCCTGTGTAAGTTAGAATAGCAGTAATAGAACCTTGTTTCATACTTTTAACCATTGTCAGTATAGTTGTAATGGCTTAGGGGTGGTTAGAGAACTGAAACAAGCACAGCAGACAGATAAAACAGTGACTCAAAACTATACTTTGAGATTTAAGATCAGAGTTTGGCATAAGTTAAAAATGTAAGCATTAGATCTATAATAAAGTATAAAAACTGATGAGTTATAGTTTGAGTTTACATCAAACTACTTACTCCCAATGTATTAGGTTGCAGTGTTTGTTTACTTGTCTTTAAAAATAACTCCTATTGATTACAATTAGCAATATAGATGGAAGTTTAAAAACTTGATTAACTGATAGGCTTTTAGTTTCTTCCTAAGAAGGTAAAATATACTTCCTGTAATCTCATCAAAGTTAATATGTTCAACTTGGGAAGCTAGTCTTCCAAGTGGTGTAAAAACAATCCCATCTAAAATATAATTAGCATAGCTTTGGAATAAGTACTGTTATTTAGTGAGCTTTACATATATGCATAGTTTGAACTTTATATTTTTTGAAAAGTAAATTCAGTTAGTTAAGAAGGCATTACCGGTGTTTGCTGGGAAACTAACTGTATCAGCAGAGATAGCGGGGAATGCCACTCGACAATAGGGAGCGTGGCACAGGTAAGGCAGGAAGTCCTTCCTGGAGGGTGTTTTATGCTTACATTCTTGGGTTGATTTTTTTTTCCATGCAGGAAATCATTTCCTTGAACTTTGCCTTCAGGAAACCTAAATTTCAGGTCAGCTATATAGCTGCTTTACCAAGAGAACCAGGGCCAAAGGTTACTTTAACCTCATTGGGGCATACAAACAATGCATATAAAATCAGCGTCCCCTCTAGGGCCACGTCAGAGGAAAACGTGAAAATAAGGATGGAAACATATAAAGTGCTGGGTAGTGATAAACTCTAAGTCCACTGGAACTGAGTCCAGTAAAATAGTTGCTTTCCATTCCCATGACGGGCCTGTAATTAGTACAAATGTATAATGCTAATGCTCATTTAATTTTCTCAAATCCTTTGGAAGCAAATTGTTGATGCCACCCAGGTTGTATGTGTTGCTTTGGGCTGTAGTGCTTTCGCAGAAAGATGTTGGGAGATCTAGGAGCCTGCAGTGCAGATCGAAGGCACCTCAGTTCCTGTGACATTTCTTTTGAGAGCGCTGTGACAGTTACTCCATTGCTGTCATTTTGTAGGAGGAAATGAAGATAAGGCAGGCTGGCACTGCACTGCATGGACACTTACAATTCTTACAGTTGTTGCTGATCAATTTCAAAACCAAAACCTGTTTCCATCTTTAGGATATTTCCAAGTCTGTAAAGCACTCTTCTAAGAAATTCATGAAAATCGACAAGCCTCCTGTTTGCCAGAAGTTACTGCAGAATGGGAAGAAATATAGACTGATCAGTGAACCGGAAGCTGATATTACCCCAGAGGTATAGATTTTAAAAATCAACTTGGAGTAGGAGCAGGGATGGATATTTCTTAGATATATGGTATTTTGAAGGTTTAAAAATAATACATTTTGTTCTCATTTTTTATTTCCTATTTATAAAAAAAAC